GCGCCACCCGGCCCGCACCCGCTGCCCTCGCCGGCGCCGCCGACGCTGGCGTCTCCCAACTCCTCCTTCACCAGCCTTGTGTCCGCCTACAGGACCCCCATCTACGAGCCGACCCCGATCCACCCGGCCTTCTCCCCCCACCCCGCCGCCGCCCTGGCCGCCACCTACGGGAGCAGCACGTACGCGGGCCCCCTGTACCCCTTCCCCCGGACCGTGACCGACTACACGCACGCCCTGATCAGGCACGACCCCCTGGGTAAGCCCTGCCTCCGCTCCCCGCGCCCCGCGCCCCGCTCGCAGCCCGGGAGGGGAGAGGGGGTCGGGCCCTGGGCTGGAGACTGAAAGTCATTGAAACTCTCTCCGGTCCCGGTCTGATTTACAGTAAATTAGGAGGCCAGACCGCGGCGAGCACCCGCTGGTGACTCAGATTTGTTTTCCTTCAGCCGAGCGACTCTGAGGGTGTCCTTAGCAAGGCCGGGTGCGGTTTTGGTGCGGAGGGTTCACTGTCCTGGGAGCTTGCACTGCACATCTGGGGCTTTTCCTGCAGATGCCTCCGAGCGCCCGGAGGCCGATTCTGATCTCTCCGGCCCCGGAGGACCCCGGGGGGCAGGATCAGAATCGGGCTCCCGGTCCCCTGCCCTCCCGGCGGGATGCCCCGGCTCTGCGCACTGATAGCTGCAACACTGGTTCTTAGTGATTGCAGAACTGGATCTGACTCACGAAATTTGTGCAGTGAAAGAGGCTGACCCTTTCCGTTCATACAGGAAACCTTGAGCTCTCGATAGGAGTAAATCTGGTTTCAGAAGCTGTTAAGTGTTTTCCTGGCTGCCAGAAGCAGGCTCTTCCCCGGGAGTCGTGCACATTGCTGATTACTTTATCGACATCCTCAATACAGACAAATTCAGGAAACACTCGACTTCTGATAGCCGGGATCCGTTTTTCTGATATTGTTCATTTCCTCTGTGTGGGATGTGACTTTATGACAGCTAAAATAACCAGTTGCTTCCTATTTTTTTAGTCTGTTTTGCACCAGAATTACTAAAGCTTGACGCAAGCAAAATCTTGAAAAACAATGCCGCGTTTCAAAGGCGGAGAGGCAGCAAGGCAAACACGGTGACTCAACGGTTCTGGCCCGAGAGCTCCGGACCCGCCGGAGCTCCACTGGGGAGGCTCCCGGAGGTGCCAGTCCTTGCGCCCCTTTCTATACACACTGCACAAAGCCTGGCACAGCTCATGTTTGCTTGCCAAGTAATGCTGAGACCCCAGCTGCCCCTCTTTCCACTTGGAGGTCTCCCGCAGCTACAGGGATTGGGTGTTTATCTGCAGTGCAGTGAGGGTGATGACCAAGGACACACCAAATCTGGTGAGGGTGATAAGGTAGTGCCGGATGCTGATTCCGCTACAGTCATTTCCAAATAAATGTTGCTCCCTCGTGTGGAAGGTCCCCCTGCCCCCAAGTGTTTGCAGCCCCCAGATAGTGATGTGAGATGAGCTCTGTTTAGCATGTGGGCAAACATTTGCACAGAGAATGCAAGACAGTCACTTGGGGGTATTGCAGTGAAAGAGCAGAAGGAAGCACAGTTTTTTTCTCTTTTCTTTGCGAGATAGACCAACAGGAAACACATTGACGGAAATGTTGCCATAGCCCTTAGAGTGGCTTTTAACTGGTCTCTGTTCGACTGATGTAAAAATCAGAGGAGGCGAAAGATCAAAAAATGAAGTTTGAAAAAAAATGCGTGGCCTGAAACCAGAGAGCCTCGGATCCGGCCCCCGAGCCCACCCTTGACTTCTGGGGAAGGGCCTTAGTGTTTCGGTCAAAGGCAGCTCATGAGGGGCCAAGCTGGGCTGTGCATGGGGGGGCAGCAGGGGCTTCTGTCACTCCCAGGGCTTCAGCAGGGACAAAAGCACCAAAGTACCGGCTCCCAGCACCTCCAGGCTGAGCCAGGCTCCCCTGCAGGAAGCACACCAGTGACGGCTCTTCTTGCTTCTCTTGGCAGGGAAGCCCCTGCTCTGGAGCCCCTTCATCCAGCGGCCGCTGCACAAAAGGAAAGGGGGGCAAGTCCGCTTCTCCAACGACCAGACCATTGAACTTGAGAAGAAGTTTGAGACCCAGAAGTATCTCTCGCCACCAGAAAGAAAGAGACTGGCCAAGATGCTGCAGCTCAGCGAGAGGCAGGTGAGGCCCAGCAGCGTGCACAGTGCAGGCCCCAGGACACCCTGCTGTGCCCCAAGGAGGAAGCAATCCTGCCACCCTAGCAGCTGGGGACACTGCTTCCGCTGACTGAGATGGAGCCGAACACCTTGTAGCAGCTCCTTCTGTTAGACAGGAGTAGGTTGATAGCCACACTGGGGACCAGCAGCTTTCCATTGCCTGCTGGCTGACACACCAGTGCAACTCCAAGGTAACCCCCAAGGCACTCTGGATTTGCACGGAGGTGACAGAGAGTAGCTTTTGGCCCCACTTTGGCTGCTTCTGCTACTAGGGTAAACTGGTCCAGCTGGAGCTGCTGTGGACTGCACCACATGTGCCAACTTTTGCCTTTTTCTCCTGTCATTTAGGTCAAAACTTGGTTTCAAAATCGCAGAGCAAAATGGAGGCGTCTAAAACAGGTACAGGGATGTTTCTGTTTCTATATAAATACATATTTTAATTGCCTTATCTCATAAGTGATCACCTATTCCAGATTGTATGCAAAAGTCATCTGAAAGGCTGTTTAACCTCTTCACCTTGATTAAAAACGCAAATAGTCATGCTGGAATCCAGGATGGCTCATTGATGCAGCACTAATGTTAAAAGCTCCTAATGTAGTTCCTATATCAATTATGCCTGGGTTTTCACATACCAGCTATTAAAACTCCAGGCTAATTGTTTTGTAAACCCATATGTTGTTTATCTAATTAAGGCAGAGAAGATAAGTAATTGTCAGTAAATGACTTAGATAGTTGTCTCTAGAAGAATATTTACTGGCCCTTTTACTTACTCATTTATAATAAACACAGGCAAATGTATTGTATAGCTCTTGGGAAACAAATACACATAAACTTTGGTTACTGATTTGAAGGTTAGGAAAAATTAAATAGCTTTTGAATTCAGGCAGATTGGAGTCAGTTACTTAAAGAGTATTAGATTGGGTCCTATTGCAACAATTTTTCCCACTCAAAAATTGTACATGGGTTAGTAAAGCTTTTTTTGCAAATAAAAGAGCTTGGGCCTGCTGTGTTTGGTTGGCTCAGCATTCATTGCCTTGTCTGATAAAGGACTTGAAAATCTGTGTAGAAACGAGAAAGCTGAAAAATGCCACAAAGCAAAGGTATTTTAAAAACTTGCTGTTTTTCAGCAAAAAGTTAGGATTGCATATTTTAATTAAAAACTCACCGTTGTGTGATGATGCTGGGTATGTTTTAGAATATGAACATTTTGGTTCAATTTGAACTGTTCCTTCATCTAGTTTAAATTTTAAAAGCTTAGTTTATGTAGATTTGTCCTTATGCTACAGAGATGTTTATTCTGAGTGAACTCATTTTATCTGTGAAACATGCAGTGGCCTGATTTCCCTTAAATATCTTGAGAGGCTGCTGGAAATCATGGCCATTTAAAATAATATCCTTCTTTTTAGGCAGTCATGTATCACCTGTGGCCCAGGTACCTAGCCTTGAGTGCTTTCACTTGGCTAAGGAAACAACCCTAGTTGTCCCCAGGGGGAAGCAGCATCAGGAAGTAGGACTATTATTTATTACATTAAGGCCTATTTTTAAAATTTGCAATTTTTAATGTTAAATTTTAGACTTACAACTTGATGATTAGTAATTTTTCCATTTGCTGCTTTATAATATGGATGGGCTCCATCTGCTCCTATTGAAGTCAAAGGTAGTTTTGTCCTAGGAAGAAATATATTTTAATGAAAATGCATAGCGACTAGAAGAAGCAGATGATCCTTTTACATATTTAGAATTAATCTGTTATTATTTTAAAACACACTTTTAAATGCTCCTGATCTAAGCCTCTTACTTGGAGATATTTGAAGTAACCATCATACTGCATGGGGGTTGGATCCATGACAAAACTAGTAGTTTCAATGGGAGCAAGATGTTGTTTATGATTGCCTCAGTTCTTTATCAGACTGGGACCAGCACAGCTTATCTTTCCTAGATGGTATTCCATCTGCTCAGGAAGAAAGTTTTATAAGTAAGAAGTCCCATGGCTGCACACATGCATTTCCTTAAGAATTTAACAAGTGAAGGAACAGAATTTGTTTAGGGGCATGGATACAGCCTATACTCACCTGAGAAAGCACCAAACTTCTAGCCTCAGTGCAAAACCCCTCAATAACTGAATGTTGACTTCCAAAATGACCTAGACTCCTAGGTCTTCTGATTATGCTGAGCATATTTTGGTGTAAAACTGGTTTCTTTATTGATTGACTTTAGGAGAACCCTCAAGCCAGCAAAAAGGAAGAAGCTGAAAGTGTGGATAGTCACTGTGATCAAAGGCAAGAGAGCTGTCTGAGCCCTGAGCAGAAGAATAAAGATGTCTCTCTTGATGGGTCCCAGTACACCCCCTCACCTGTCTCTCAAGAGGACCTTGAATCTGAAATCTCAGAAGATTCTGATCAAGAAGTGGACATTGAAGATGATAAAGGCTATTATAACTCTACCCACTAATGGGCTCATGCTTGAAAATGAACCCTGATTCAGCTTGCACTTTAAGGGAGCTGACTTTTAAAGAATGTTTGGCTATAGAAGACAACTTTCATCATTTCTCTGAGAAAACCACAGTGACTAGTTCTGTAAATCTAAAACCAAGAAAAGGGCAGACAATCAATTTATGGGCAGATCTTTATTTTGGTTAAAGGAATAGGTCCATGTTTTGTATTTAATTTGTAAGATATATTTGTACATCGATTAATGTTCTCTCTGGAATATAATACTACATTCTGTCTTTACTGATTTTATACCCCATCCAGTCACCCTTGTGCAGTCAGGCAGAACTCCCAAATATTTCAGGTAGAAGTGAGTGTGGCTTGCAGGATGAATTCCTCTGTATTTGTAGGTAGCTTTAATTAATTAATTTAAATATTCTTGTTAAAAGCTTCCCCCCCCCCAGCATAGAAATATATTTAATGAATGGGGAAGAATTTTTCAATTCCCATCAAGTGCCTTATCTCATCATCTGATGCCTTTCCACTCATAACACCTCTAGTGGTTTTTTTCATGACATAATGTTTAGACTACAAGTCATTTGTAAATGTTAATTTTTACTTTATATTATAAACAATACATATATTGTTTTTATATATATAAGACCTTTTTGAATTGGAGACCCCTTGAAATGTTGCCTTGCAATCTGTCTGATTCCTTTTTCTAGGGAAAATATTTTGTGATTAAAGCTGCTTTTTGTCTGTTTTGATAGTTTACTTCCCATGTTTTGTAAGAAAATGTAACAAGCCATAGGGTCCTACTGCAGGAGAAAAACTGACATCAGCTGCTGCCTGATGAGCCAGGCCTACACCAGCAGTGGGAAGATAGTGCCTATTATATACATATGTGCCTCTGTAAATACTTTGCTTCAAAAGGTTTTATACCTCATATTGTTCATATTTTGTACATATTTGTTCATTGTTAAAAAAAAGAAAAAAGGTATTTAATTTCTTTTTGGTGATGAACTTGTCTGTGAAATAAACTAAACCTGGACCACCCCAGATATCAGACATTCACTTCCTTAGTAGGTGCTGGGGTCCAGCCTAGCATATAGACTGGTATTGCTGAAAGCGGTTCCCTCCCCTCGTTGGTCAGCCGGAGCTCCTAGCTGCGGAGGATTGGGGAGAGCCCTACCCCAGGGTCCCCCTTGAATGTTGCAGTTGCCTTGCTGGCACACCCGGCCTCCCGGGGCGGGGAGAAGGGACTGTGCCCTGTGGCCCAGTTCTGCGGGGAGCCCGTGAGCGACCCAAATGTTTGGAGAGAAAGAAAAAGGGAAAGGTAACGGGTGCTGCTCAGCTCGGGCTGCCCTTGACCTGCCTGAGTCAATAAAGGTTATTTATCGGCCCTTCTCCGAAGCGATGCGAGTCTTCTGGGAACAGGAAGCCGAGGGGAGAAAGGGGACAGTCGTGCCCGGGGCGCGGGAGTTGCCGCAGCCGCAGCCGCGTCGCTCGCGGGCTCTGGCCGCCCAGTGCCCTGGTGTGAGGGCCAGTAAAGGGCCCAGTTTAACCTGCCTGGACGTAACCCGCTGCTGCAGCCGAGAAGGCTTGGCCTGGCCCGGCCCGGCGGCTCCTCCGTGGGGTGCTGCCCCAGCAGGTGTTTGCCGAGGGCCGGGGGCAGCCGGGACAGGGCATGAATGCAGATGTCCCTGGCAGACCTGAGTGGGGTGTGCGACACGGCGGATCGTGCGTGCTGCACCTGCACACGGTCCCTTCCGCCCGTGGCAAGGCAAGCGGCGCTCCGTGCGGGGCACACGCATCCCCCGGCCCCGCCGTGTGTGGGCCGCCCCTGCCCGCTCCCCCCACCGCGTCCGGGGCAGCGGTGTGCCGGGGCCCGGCACGAGAGCGAGGAACCACCGCTGCATCGCCCGGCCAGACGGCGCGGCCAACTCCTGCCTTCTTTGCCTTGCATTTCCGAAACGGACCTGGGAAAACAGCAGAGGCAGCAAATCCCCGCAGGGTGCTGGGGGGAGGGCAGGGACGAGGAAGGCTCCAGGGCTGCAGGGCGGGGGCAGGGCAGCGGCCTGTAGGGACCAGGCACCGGGACCCCAAGGTGCCAGCTGCAGCCAGCGCGGCGTCCCCCGAGGGCACCGGGCTGAGGACACGTTGTTTCGCTGAGGTCTTCTGTGCGGACGATCCCTGCGCCCCAGGGTTTGTTACTGCCGGGACAGTCCTGCTGGGCTTGTGATGAAGAGCGCACCGGGGCCAGGTTCTGATCCCGTTCATGCCGGTGTAAGTCCGGCGTGACTCCCGTTCACTCCTGCTTGGCAATCGCATAACAGAATCGGGCTGGATCGCAGGCCAGTTTGGTGCTCTCGTTAGGAAACCTCAGCAAACCCATCCCTGACATGCACAGAAAATGCGATGGAGGATCTGGAACAGGGTCCGACCCAAACTGGCCATTCCTGAGGTGGGTTTGGCACGTAGCACTGTAGCAGTGGCAGCTGGCTGGCAGCCCTGGCTTGCAGTCTGTAGGAGCTCCCTGGTACAACCGAACCGATCTCTCGTCAGGGACCTCCACTCCCGCTCCGGAGCATTCCTGTAGCCCCGGGCTCGGCGGGGAAGTGGATCATTACCGGGCTCCACTACAGCTGAGCCAGGGCTCCTGAACCTCACTGTCGACCCGGCCCTGCATAGCCCTGCTCGGCCAGCCTGGGAGTCGGAGTCGGGCGAGGGGGTGGCGGGCTTAGGAAAGGGCACCTTGTCAGACCGTGCGCGGCTTGATCTGTGCAGCCAGCAGATGAATTCCCCGCCGGCTCCCAGACATCACCTCAGCACTGATCAGTCAAGACCAAAGCATCAAGCCGGGCAGCACGAAAAGGATAATAGGGGGTTGAAAGCCTCGGGGCTAACCGGGGCGACGGGTGCGTCGCTTTGACCCGTAGGCAGCAAAAGCCTATGTGAGGAGCGAGGAGGCCGTTTCGTGTCCCCCGCCGCCCCGTCCCCACGGTTCTGCACCGGGGCAGCGACTGCCCCGTTAACGGCGGAGCGAGCCTCCGGGCCGGGCTCCCGGACCCGGCTTCTCACGGCCCTTCTCGTTAGCCGCAGGTGCCTTTGTTTTGCCATTATTGGTCAAGTTGCGCGTTCCGCGGAGCCTGAGTTAGGAGGTTTGGGTGTAAATCGCCAAAGAAATGCATCTTCGTGCCTCTCTCCAGAGGATCGGAAACGAAAGAGGCGGGTTTTAAAATATAAAGTAAATGAAAATATGAATATTCTATTTTTTTTTCAAAAAACCAAAACGTTCCTTCTGTCTGTCTGTCTGTCTGTCCGCCCAAGACTAAGCAGTGCGGACTGGTGCTTACTGCTGCTCAGGAGAGCATGCTTCATTATGCTTCCACGTGTTCGTGGTTCCTGCAACTTCTTAGAGAGGGAAAACGCACGGGCAGTGACGCCACGCACGGATTAGCGGCTCGCGGGGTCGCTGCCTGCCACGGACTTTGAGACATTGTCGAGCGTTTCATGCTACACAAGAAAATGTTAAACGGAGGCGTGAGATCTTGCAGTGAAATCCGGACGGATCTGATCGGCCCTTACTGAAAACGTGCCTGGCCGCAGCGCTGCGTGTCCGCACGCAGCGCTGGTAACACGTCCGAGGAGACTCCGCTGAGACTGCCACACCAGTAAGCAGCCGAGAGGGTCATTACACGACACACGGGTGTTATTGCTTCTTTCCCTCAAGCAGGAAAAGAACATTTTTCCTTGATATTTCCTCCTTCCACTTGCCAACATTTCTGTCAGGAAGACTCGTTTTTCTGTGCCTCAGAGATGGAAACGAACTAGAGATCGGATCAGTTTGTCACCGGCAGGGACACTCCTCGCCGGGGACACAGGTCGAGCCCCATTTAGGATGTCTGTGGCGTGCCCCGACGGAGAGCATCTCCCGCATGCAGCCCGGGCAGCGAGGCGGCGGCTCTCCCCTCTCTCCAATGTAACCCGCAGAGCCGCTGCTGCGCTGGCAATAAAAGCCGTAGCGCCTGGCCCAGGAGCAGGCAGGGGTGTGGACTTTCAAGCACATCTGATTTCTAAGCGATATTTTCGGCCTCCCGAGAAGCTGCGAAAGCAGCAGCCGAGGACTGGGTTGCGCTGCTCAAAAATCCAGGAAAGATGCATAGGTCTAGAGGTGCCAGAGCTGGGGGCTGGGGGTTGTGCAGCCGAAGCTCTCAAAAGGCAGTATCATCCCGCAGCGAAAAATGACCTGGTCTGGGTAAAGAAACAGTTTGGTGAGAGGCGAGGAGATCTAGTGCGTTAAAGACTTCCTCGTGAAATGCGCAGTCACTTATTGGCGACTCCTGCGGCGCGGATCTTGGGAGCAGACCCGGGAGTCACGCAGCCAGACCCCGCCCGGCCCGGCCGGGGAAGCGCCTTTAAGGGACTTCCGAGCCGAGGGCTGCATAAGCTTTCTTTGAAGTTCAGTAAAAACCAGTGCTGAGGTTTAACTCTCTGGGAGACACCGCCTGTTATCTTTCGAAGCCCAGCAATCGGGACAAAGAGAAAGATCATTTTTAGACCACAATGAACATTCAGTGCAATAAAAAGGGCAAGTGGTTGGTTGGCTCCCTAAAGCTCACACGCACACAGGACTCTGCAGGTTTGCACACCGTGAGCTGGAGAGCAGGGACCGACTAGCAGACAGCGATCCGTTTCTCTTTGGCTAAAAACACGCTGAATTTTTTGGTATTAGCTACGAGTCCTTCGCCACCCACACTTTTTTCCTTAATTTGTTTGCATGTCGGCTATTTCATGTCGAAGCAGCATGTATGACCTTTACAGCACAACTCTCGTCTTGTTTTCGACTCTTTTTATCAGGAGATTCAACCTGAAAACGGTTATCATTTAGCAGAAAAACAAACAGAAAGGCACATTTTTGTAAGCAGAACGTTAATGATTGGAAGAATTGCACCCATTTCGGCATGACAGTGTGTGATTAATCCTCTGGGTCAGGTACTTATATTTTTAGTCATTAGGTTCGTTGGCCTTTGCTATCCAGACCTCTTTCTAGCCTAATAGGGTATTGATCTCGCTGGATAGTGTACTTTGACTCCTTAAGCAAGGCTCACTTTTGGAGCCCGGACCGGGCGCGGGGCGGCCCGGTTTGGAGGCCGGGTTCGGGCACACGTGCGCGTCCCGACGGCCGGGTAGAGAGCGCAGGCTCCCACTGGGAGCGGCCGGGGGCAGCTCTGCTCGCAGGGCCATGCCATGCCCGCCCTCCCCTCCTTCAGTGAGGTGGCGAGCAAGCAGAGGCGCAGCCGCTCCTCTGTCCCCTGCGAGTCACCCGCCTCACCAGTTTAATACTGGAGCGGAGCAAGGCAGCAAAGCTAAGCCTAGAAGCTCCGCTCCCTCCCCCCACCCCGGCCCGTGGCGCAGAGGCCTGAGCACCAGGCTGAGGGTGCGCGGGGCTGATTCCGACCTTCTGGTGCAGCCCATTGATTTTGTCGGAGTTTCTGCCAGCTTTTAGACTGGTGCCCTTTTACCGGGAAAACAACACACAGTGTCTGCACGCCGGTACAAGGAAGGGGCTCTGATGCTAGTCACATTATTCCTTGGCTACAGAAACGGGCTACAGAAACTCGACTATGTACGATGTAACTGGGGCATACCTTTGACAGTGGCTAGTGGTGGGCTTTTCAGCCGAAACTTTGTGTTTTATTCTGAAACTGGGTGGTTGTTCCCCAGTCTCCTTAGTGCACATCATTAAGTCCCACTTAAATCCTCATTATATCACCTTTTAATCTAGAGCTGGCTGAAGAGACCTTCTGGGTTTCTCTCTCTGTCCTATGGAATTGTTAGATATGTTTTTATGTGCAAGTAGAAGCCCCAGTCCTGATCTTATAAAGAGGATTATAATATGTAGGTTGACAAGAATATCCTTTCTCAAAAACCCTAGTCCAGGAGTCACAACGTTTTTGGCACAGTGCCAAAAACACCTGCAACCTCAATTTGTAAGATGTTGGTGTGCCAGGGGCAGACAGAGGAGGAGCTGGGAGGGGCCCGATCCTTGTTGT